TGGATGGATGGATGGATGGATGGATGGATGGATGGATGGATGAACGAGTGAATCAATGGCTTGATGGGTGGATGGATGGGTAAATGGCTGGATGATGGATCAATGGCTGAATGATGGACAGATCAATAAATGGATGAATGATTAGAGCACTCAGATAAAGCTACGGGTGGGAGGAAAAGACCAGCATCACTATTTTACCTGTCTTCCCCTAAGCAAGACTGCTTGGCGATAGACCATCAAATCCCACAGGGAGCACCCTGTGAGCTCAGGATATGGAATTAAGAGACACAGCCATTACTCCTGCATTTGACCAGAGCCAGACCCAGGTCAGCCCATTCCTCCAGTAGCCTTTGCCACAAGAGACAATGCTACCATGCTCTGAAAAGACTGTGGCTTTAATACAGTCAGCCTCTTACACACCTCTTACAGAAAATGGGAGGTGAAAAAATAAGTACAGACAGCCAGTAAAGGCTTCTGTGTCATCTTACCTTGCTCTAGAGGGAAGGAGAAAGGTGAGCTGAGGAGGGACCTGAGTCAAGAAACTTATAGTGAGAAACACATTGCCAAGAACTACGGGATACACATGTTCAAAGGGAAGGGCAGTATTTTGAGTATCTGGAGATGATTAGTCAATGTGTCTTTTACTGTAACACGTTTTTAAATTCAAATATTTACGATATCTTTTGATCGCTCTTCATTGATGAAATGTTTATGGCAATTTCTGTCTGGTAAAAACCTGATGGTATGTCCTCACCCACCTTACTCACAGGATCTGGTACCTTGAGACTTCTGGCTCTTGTCCAAAGTCAAAATGACCATGAAAGGTAAATGTTTTGAATTGATTCAGGGCATGGAGGCAGCCAGCACAACCCAACTAAAGACCCTCATGAAAGAGCACTTCCAGAGCTGCTTCAGAAAGTGGCAAGAACAGTGGGATAAGTGCGTTTAAGCTAGGGGGATTTTGACGGGGGACTATGGCAATGTGCCTTTTATTCTAATTTTTTTTTTTTTTTAAGCATTCACCATATTTTTCACAGCAAGAAGCAAAGGTGCAGCCACAGATGTGTGGGCCAGTGTCATGGGCACTGGGAAGAAGATGAGCCCAGGGCATTGCTGCTGTTTTCTCTGAGAAACAGGAACATGAGCTGGCGGGGTGGGGAGTTGGGAATTTGAGAGGAAAAGGCGTATAGAACAATTCCTCGAAGTGGAGCGGAGTTGTCTGGTGGCGTTGGCTACCCATTTGGGGCCTGCTGTCACAAATGGAGGCGGAGCCCGTGAGCACAGCTGCCTGATGTCACCCAGCAGTCCGGTTGTTTCCACGCAGAGACGACCTGGCCGGTAGCAGGACAGTGGGTTTGCCAGGGCGTTCTGTGGAGGACAGGATGGCTAAGTACCTTGCACTGCAGCCAGCGTGGCGCTGGACTAGGGAGCCAGGCTAGAGGATGGAGAGGGGAAAGAGGACAGGGAGCGGTGGGGCTGGGGCGGAGCGCAGGGGCTGGAGGCCTCAGGCCACAGGGGACGCGGAGTCAGAGCCTGGAGGAACGGAGCCAGAGCGGAAGGGAAGAAGGTGACCCGCACGGGGGTGGAGAAGCCACTTCCAGGGTGACGCCCTCTCCGTCCACAGACCCAGCTGCGGCTCTGATCCTGAGAGGGTGGTGATGGGGCCTTTGCAGGGGCACGCAGTGACCCTGAGGCCAGGCGGGGCAGTGGGGCCCTCAGCAGATCTGACCGGTGTCCCTCCAGGAAAAGGAGGTTGGGACACGGGCACGCACAGAGGGGCACCGTATGTGGCCACAGGGAGAGGCCTCATGGCAGACAGCTCCACCCCGCCCAGGACTTGCGGCTTCCAGAGTCACAGCGATGTCAACTGCCACTGAAGCCACCCGGTCTGGCGTTTGTGTTGCCCCTGCAAACTAGCCCCTCGCTCTTCCTCTGTGTCCCCACTCCCTGCCCTCCCACACCCGGCCCTTCAAACATGCACTTGGAAGCACCTGGGTCACTTCCGCTCGCCCTGCTCTCACCACAACCAGTCCGCGGTAACCCTGACCCCCAAGGGTGGGACGCACACACCACCCAGCCCCCCGGCGGAGGAGAGCGGGAGCGGGCACCTCGTAACCACCACATCGTCCTTCCCGGGTGTCTGCAGCCAACCTGCACCCTAGTGCCACCCGGGCCAGCAGATCTGACGCGGGGTGTCAGCACCTGGCAGGTGACAGGAGGATGTAGTTAGGTGTGAGAAGAAAAGGTGATCACTTTGGTGGTATTTTTAGCTTTTTCCTTTCTACTTTTAATATGCTTTAAGTGCACATACCTGTGGCACAGGAATACATGATATGATGTGTGAATGTAGGGGGCGCACAAACCTTTCACCCATGGAGGCAAAATCAACCAGTCGAGAGGCCAGCCCTTGTCTGCAGCGACCCCTGCTGGATTCCACGCGCTGTGGCCTTGCGCTGTGCCGGTGGGATAGGGAGGAGGCTGCTTTCTCCTGAGACGTGGCCGGGCACACTCTCCGTGGGCACGGAGGTGGGTAGCCGCTCTCCAGTGTTCTGGGGACGGGCATGGCATTGCTGCCAGTCTGCCCGGAGCCCAAGGCCCTCAATGCAGCCCACAGTGCAGCCCGGGTCAGAAGCTCAGGAATCACAGGTGGGGAGAGAGGAGAAAAGCGGGGCTGGTGCGGGGGGAGAGATGGGCGGCCGAGAAACAGAGGAGCCGTGAGCAGACGTGGAAACATCAGGGCCGGGAACATCTTGTGAACTGGGAGCTCGCCCCAAATCTGAGACTATGAAGTAGTTTTCCCTCCTGAACTGCCGTCTTTAAAAAATGTCCCAACCAGTTGTAAGAGCAGGGGCCTGAGTCACAGCTTCTGAGCTTGAGGCTGCTGCTCCGGCGACCTCACCCCTCACCAGCTGCACATCTGCCTGCCTGCCCAGCTTCCCACGGGGCTGTCCCTTGAGGCCAGACGCGCACGCTCGAGGCTGTCCCCTGTCCTTCTCCTCCTGTCCTCTGCCTCCTGCTCTGCCAAGCTGCCTCTGCTCTGCCCATGAACATCAGGAAAGACAGAGCTGAAGACATCGTTTTAAAAGGTGTCACAGGTGCCCCAGGAGCCAGAGCATGGTTTCTTTTTAGGCAAGAGACGATCTTTCTCTCTTTCTTCCTTTCTTTCTTTCTTTCTTTCTTTCTTTCTTTCTTTCTTTCTTTCTTCTTTCTCTTTCTTTCTTTCATGTCTTTTTGAGACAGGGTTTCACTATGCACCTCAAACTCAAACTCACAGTGATCCTCCTGCCTCAGCCTCCTAAGTGCTGGCCTCAAACTCACAGTGATCCTCCTGCCTCAGCCTCCCAAGTGCTGGGATTACAGGGCAAAAGAAGTTTCCGTTTAAGAATATTTCAGCCGCTTCTATTTCTAACAGACAGAAAAACAAAAACAAAAAGCCCACCCGGGGGCTGCTTTTCTGGGCTGTGGGTGAAAGGTGAGTAGGATGGAGGTGGCTGAGGCAGGCCCTCAGGAGAGACGCCTTCCCAGTCTCCCAGGGGTGCTGGGGTGGGAACTGAGTTGCAGTAGGACCGAGAAGCCTTCTGGAAGGGAGGAGCTTGGCTCCTGCTAAACCTGAAGTTACTTAAGCTTCTCTAAGTGCTGGAACCCCAGCTTCCTGCTGAGTGTGACCCCAGACAGCAGGACTGCAGGGTACAGATGGGCCCCTCACAGGTGCTGCAACACCAGGCGCCAGGCCACAGAGGGGGTGACATCCTCCACTTCTGGGGCAAAGCCAAGCCACAGGGAGCAGGCTGGGGTGAAAAAGGGAGAAAGACAGGCTTGCCGTGATGAAATGGGGCTTGGAATTATATCATACAGGTTGGGTGTGGCAGCGCACGCCTCTAATCCCAGGATTCAGATGAGGCTGAGACAGGAGGATTGCTGTGAGTTTGAGGCCAGCCTGGTCTACATAGTGAGTCCAGACCAGCCTGAACTACATAACAAGACCCTGTCTCAAGAAAAGACAGAAAGAATTATATCATACAAAATATTAAGAGAGGCACAACTGCATTGACCCCAAACTGAGGCGGGACACACCAGTGCAGCAATGCCTGCTCTCAGCACCAGAGCGCGGAAGCAGTCGGGGCGTGAGTTCTTCCTGTCACAAAAGGGTCCAGGAGCTGAGCGACCCCAGTGCTGGAGGTGAGCCGAGGGTCTCCTGACTTCCTCTGCTTTCCCCCTGCACACCCTCCCTGCCCCAACCACACAGAGGCGGTCTGAGAAATCGAGTCTGTGACTTTCTTCCCAGTAAAGGCAAGGGGATTTTTAGACAGTTGCCCCTCAGATCAGCTGTGCTGAGGAAAGCCCAAGCTGCCCCCTGCTGGACAAACAAGGAACCTATTTATAGGGCATTCTGTCAAACAGTTCAGCAAAGCCTGTGGCGTTTGTTGATTTTATTGGTGTTTGTGATTGTCAGCATCTGCCGGGTCTGAGGAGATATTCTAAATTTGGATGTTGTTTTCCATCACTCAAAACCCAAAACCTCCAGCTGGAGCGCTGCGTCACAGCCCAACCTAATTCTATGGACGTAGACTATATGCCAACCCCGGGCAGCCAGGTGACCCTCCGGGCAGCGGAGGACA